TGTGCTCTGTGTTTGTCTGTTGTCTGTATAGTTTTCTGAATCTGTAACGTTTATCGGTTCACGATGATATATCACGGGTGGCATTTTGACCACAACTGGTGCATCATTTGTTTCCAATTCGATCATTTTATTCGACTCGGGCAAATTAACGACAACTGGCATTGCTTCAAGGGTCTGATCCAGTATTGATGTATCATTTTTATATTGGATCTTCTTCTTGGCCGTTGTTTGTGTATATTCTGGTGCATATTTTATGTTAATATGTTGAAATTTTTTATATTTTTTCAAATCTTCTTTGTAATTGTTTTTGTCGACCACATCATTGTAGCATTGACCAGTACCACCATATTGTTCCTTCGTTGTTATATCCGATTGCTCTTTTTTCGTATTTGTATCGTTTGTTGTTGGTTCGACAGTAGTTGCAACGTTATCTGTTTTCGGCTCGGGCTTTTGCTTTCGACGTATTTTTCGTACTTTCTTGGTGGCATCAGCTTTTGCTTTCTTTTTACTTTTTTCCCCGGTTGTCTTATCATCGGTTTTGGGTGCCTTAACCTCATTTTGTAACACTGGTTTGTTTATGGACTCATCTTGAACTTTGTAAGCGGCGCCATTTTCGCTCATATTGAAGACGCCATTACAACGTTCTTCACCGCCCACCTGTAGGTGTATGGCATTCTTGAAGTCTTCACCTAAATGTTCCAGCCAAAACGCTTCATCCACATCAGCGGAAGTGAAAAATCGTGATGTCTGTCCCGTTTCACTTTCGCTGGGTTCACCATGCTGTTGCGCCACATCAACGAAGTCATATTTATCATCACTACTTTTGACTGGTGTATATGTTTCAATGGTGCTGACATTCAAAGCGCTGGACTGAAGAGGGGAAATTTATGATTGGTAAGCTTTAACTCAATTACATAATTATTTTTATAAACTGAATATACACCATTTCTTTTCTTCAGTTACACACTTACATGCCGCACCAGCAAAAATACCAAAACGATGTAGAACCGCCACGCGCATTCACCACGCACGGCCTTCATATTAGCTTTCTCTTGTGCCGCAGCAAGAAAATCGACAGCAAAAAAAAAAAAAACAAAAAACAACTGATTTTAGCTCAGTCCAATTTCATATTTCCAACTGAATCAAATCGCTAACAAGTATTGCCTTAAATATCTGAATTGATTTGCATCTCAAAGCATAAAACTCACAACGGAGCAAAAGCGACTTTTTTCCCATCTTTACTTAGTTCTGACGTTTGACTTTCATTCTCCAATATCATTTTCCCTAAGCAGACGTGCTTGTGATGGGTTTTTTCTTTGGTTACTGTGTATGGTTTGAAGTCGCAGTGGTTTTTGTTTTGAAATTGTTGAATAATTCTCGCTTGTAAATCGAGCATTTTTATTCTTCCGTAAATTTACGCATAAAGGCCTTCGCTGCACATATAATTGTATGCAATTGTCTGCATATACATACATATATTCGTACGGTGTGTAAATATCATACAACAACTAAAATTTGCACAAAATACAAAAAATACTCTAATTTAACTCTTGATTTGGCAAGCAGATAAAACAAATGTTTCCGCATAAATTGTTATACATACATATGTATGTATGTACTTACATATGTACATACATATTATATAATATAATATACCTATGAAGTCTGTACAATACACTCTTACCGAGTTGGCTCCAAAGCAATTACTGTAGTATCATAATAATATTCTTTTGATTGTTTTGATTTTTGAAATGAGTATCCGAAGAAAGAAAGATTTTTCTCGTTAATTACCATATACAGATAATAATCGAAGATCTGCTCATTGGCAAAGAGCTTCTTCCCAAAAAAGCAGTTTTTCGTGTGAGAAAATTTATTTCAGGAAGTCAAAATTATTTTTGTCAAGTAAGGAAAAACTAAGTTCGGGTGTAACCGAACATTTTATGCTACTGCAACTCGCAAGAATCACAGCTGTCAAAATGTTGGTAATATTGGAAAAACAAAACAATCAAAGCGGAAATTATTCTAAATAGTCCTTAATCGATTTAATAAATTTTTGATTTTAGCAATTACCATATACTATTAACTCTATTAAATGCTCTCTGGGTTTCATTAAGATGCATCCGTGCCATCTCTAATTTAATCAATTTTAGACACAAGCATCATAACGGTGTATATTGTTAAGACGTTCTCTAATTTTCACTGAGATAACTCACATATTGGCCGTTATATAAATATTTAGTTATTGATTTATCTTACTTTTAGTAGTTTTTAGGAAAACCGTTAAGTAGCAAAGTTATCATCCGATGTCATCTATTTTCATACCATCGAAAGAGGGGTTAAAATAATTTGTACTGTGTAATTTTTGTGGTTCGTTGTGTCAAAATTGAGATCTATAACTTAATTTGCAGCTTAGTTATGACATTTTCGGTTTATGGAGTTAATTCTATAATTCTTACAAATCCCCTTGTATCTCCGACTTCAAGGTTTTTTAATAGTATACAAATGTACATACCATTTATATATGTATGTATATGCATAAACCTTTTTTTTTTAATCACAAGTGTATATGTATATCCTCTCAAACTGATTTTAACAAGTGGATTAAGCTTTTCCAGTGAATAGTTCCATCTTTAGTGGTTTAATTCAAATTTGTTTTGCCATTAAATTATCACTCTTCCTTCTAACAAAATAAGAGAAGTACTCACATACTTCATTCAATTTTTCAATGACATAGTTTTAATTGCTATTATTTAATAATTGATTTTCCCATTATTTTCTTTATTTCAGACCCAGTGTAAAAATTTTAAGATTTACTTTCAACTTGTTCGACTGCAACATAGCATCTTATTATAAAATGTGCGGTAAGTGAATCTTAATTTATATTTTATGAACCATTATGTTTATTACCAAATTATGCTACTAAATATCAATCGAACAAACGTACATACCGTACATACAGTTAGAGTATCCACTTGTTATTTTATTTATTTAACAAAAAAAAAATAAAAATAAAAAAAAATAAAAATTTATAATATGTGGATATTGGATAATCATAAAACTAAAATAGTACAGGTGCTATAAACAAAAATTTATTTAATTAAATTAAAACACGTGAGTTTATTTCAATACGAGCAAGTAAAAATGAAATTCACTATGTAGCAAAGTACTACCTAATTTGTCGGACAAGTTACTCATCCGTTTAATATTATGTATACGAACCTTTTTAATTCAACATTTTGTTAAAAGAACAAATATTTTTCGAACCATTATAAGTGTTTTGGTAGAAAACAAAAAATACTTCTATGAAAATCTTGATTTTGATCGGTCATTGTTATAACGCTCCCATTTGTACATTTTGTCTGAACAGGCCGGGTACAAATATTGTCAAATGTGGGTTACATCTAATAAATTTCCAACCCAGAATGACTTTTTACAGACATATGTCAATTATTTTATTGTGAAACAGGCATATGCGTGTTCACTATTCTAACTATTTCTGATGCGCATATTGACGTTATAAGACCAAAGAGGAATAGTGGGAGTTTAAAAATATTATGCGACTTAAAACATCACTGCTGAAAAATCGTTTTTAGGTTTAAATCCATTGACCAATGTATTATATAGAGATGGAATAGAGATTTTTCGATTTTTTTGTCGAATAGAAAATTTTTGAATAGTTATTTTTCGGTAAAGAAAACTAGTCCCATTCTATTTCGCTTTATTTGCTGCAACGGTTTTTAGAGTTTAATTGGTAATATAAGAAAAGTCACCAAAAACCAAACTATCTATAGCAAACACAATTTTTAGAATATGTCCACCTTTACATACTTCCTTTTTAATTCGTGTATTCCTAGATTGGTTATTGCTTTATTGTGAAAATGTCTGACGAACCACGTTATCATAAATAATTTTGATTTTTAATGTAGAAAAAGTAACGAGTTCCTCAGATGGAAGTAATTAAACCATATTTTCGCTAACGGTCCGTACAGTTCGTTAAAGTACAGCACAGTTGACATAGTTTACGATTCAATTGGATTGGGCCAAAATAGCACTTGGCCACTATACAAACTGAACAATCGAAATTATTTGTATGACAAACTCTTCATTTAACAAGATAACTTCAAGAGACAACTCTACAATCTCCAAACGATTGACCTCGTTATTACAGTACATTTATTGGCAGTAAGAAATGCCTGTGGTGGTTGTTATAGCTTCGTTGTAGCCTCTCATTTTAGAAGAAAGGTTTTGTTATTTAAAGAAAATTTTGCTTATAAATACCGTAACCTGTCATTTTATTATATTATGATAGTCAAGTCTTTGTTACCTCTCCGCAAGATAGTTTGTTTAAATTATAGCAGCATTAATGAAGTATAATATTTTTAATACTGTCAACATCCATGATTACAAATAGTATTGACCCCCTGAAATTTCAATACTTCAGAAATGTGAACTAATGCAAAAATTACGTAAAATGGCATAAAACCCTGAAATTAAGACACTTCGAAAGAAAGCAGTAATAACTCAAAATTATCAAAATAGTTTTAATGCTATAAAAACTTTATAACAAAATCACTAATTTGCATTTTAGTATTATAACTGGTACCGATAGAAAGTACCATTGATAAATTGAAATTTATACGAAAATTGGGCAATTATTATAAAAAACTTTTATTGTGAAAAATTTTGCACGAACTCTTTTGTGTGCAAAATAAAAATGGTCTACGCACTGTGCGCACTTTAGCTAATCGCGAAATCAGTAACCCACTTGTTCGTAGCTACAAGAAAGAGAACAAGAAAACAATGAAATGTTTAAGTGAAAACTTAAAAGTATTTATGCTTAATAATAACATTGCTGGGTATAATTTATTAAAACTAGTTATGCAGCTCCATACACATTTTTACAACTTCGACTATATTGTAGAAATTACAGATTCTTCTCGAGAAGTTTTCGCAAAATTTCTTAAACAAATTTGTTAAGGAGATATTCTAGTATTTGGTGGTTACAGCAGCGGCGGTAGGAGGTCGTGCAGCTGCGGTATAGCGTAATCATGCATATTACTGTAATAGCTTGTACTATGTTGCTGTGGATTGTAGGTATCCTCCTGGTCAAACCACAGGCTTAGACGGCCGTCGATGAGCTTCTTAAAAAATGATATTGTTTCTTGCTCTTGCCATGGCTCCGGATCTACTAACGCGCCACCATAGTGTTTTGTAGCGTCTATAAATTCTGGATGTCTATAAATGATGTCGGTAATTATCTTATCTAACTGTTGGTCAGTAATATGTTGCACTGGATAGTTTTGGGTGTGAACTGAAGGCGTCGCATCATATGGGTGACTGGAGTAGGTTTGTGGTGGTTCTTCCAAATCGCCAGCATAGCGCAATGGTGTAGCATTGTGGTCCAGTGGATCTGGTACCGATATTATCGTGGTCTTTCCATGCAATTCGCCATTATTTTCTAAATAATTGCGACCCAAATAATCGTAAATGTAATGTTGCGCTGTTGTTGGTAATTGGTACATCAGTTTGGCATGTTGTGGCGCTGCTGAATTGACAATTTTTTGGTATGACTGTTGTGGCGACTTATAATTTGGGTTAGTGGAAATTGGTGGCGTTGTTGGCGAATGTGCGCGATAAGCTCTTTTCTTTTGTAATGCGGGGTAAGCTGACTCAGACGTTGACGTTGATCTACCGCTGTAATAGTTAGCTGCATTGCGTTTTTTGTATGAAGACCTGATGGAATTTTCTGCTATAGAGTCATTGCTTTCTTTGAGAAGGCTGTCTTGAATCGTGGTCTCCTTTTCACTCTGTTTCGGCCGTGTACTTTCCACATCTGTTTCTTCGTTCGAATCCATATCCACATTTATGCCCATGTTGTCTCCTTTGCTGGTATTTGTATCGGTATATGTGATAGTACTGTCCGGTTGGTCTGTGTTGATTTCATGACTTAGCGTGCTGTATTCCGAGGAGCTGTTTGGATTGCTGTTTGGCCTGGTGTACTTGCTGGGGTTATTTTCGGTTGACGTGATCTGATGGGAGTGCTGTGTACCGCAACCGAAGTAACATTGACCCCTTTTAAAATTGGGCTGCAATGTTTCGGGCATAAATTGTATGATTTCAGGCAATGTCAGATCCATCTGCTCACGTTCCTTTTCTAGCAGTTCGTACTCACCCTTAATGTCACGCTTCACAAGACGTGAGCGTGGATGTGTGTATCGTGGCTTCTTCGCCTTACGTTTCGGTTTCTTCTGTGTGCTTTGCTGTTGTTGACGGCGTTGTTGTCTATTGCTCTGTTCCTCAAAGTCGAATAAACGGCGTGGTGTTTCAGATAAATTCTTGTGATATAATTTTACAAAACGACTCGGTCGCTCCTTAGTAGCCTTGCGTGATCCGAAGAGGGTGCGATGCAAATCGCGTTTACGTCGTATATTAACAGCGCCAACCTCCGCACCGCCACTGCCGTTATTGACGTATCCATCATCTCCTTCACCACAGCCATTTGCTAGAGGCATTGGCTCTGACATGAAATCACTAAATGGTTTACCCATAAAAATCGCATTTGGTGAGAATGGAGTTGATTGCGTACGACTCAGATTGCATTTGCAGTTCGGTCGCCGACATTTGCAGGGTAGTGATGGAGTGGCCATATCGTTAAATACGTACCTATAGGACGGCTTGGAGATGCCGCATTGTCCACAACGGCAGGTGGACGGCGCAGATGACGCGGCATAGCTATCTTCACAATCTTCAAGAGAGTAATTGTTACAATTGTTTCATAGATACACATGCACACTCGTTAACTCACCGCCCTTACTGATCGCTACACGATCAACCTTGGCATATAAATTCAATTTGGATGGCTTAGTAGGTTTCGGTGGGCGTGGTTCTTCGACCGAGAAATCAATACTGTATAAAACTTTCGTCTTTGTTTGACGCGGTTCTTCCACTTTATAACCGTATTCATAGGGCGTATGACATTTCCTTGATTTCGCAACCCTCGGCACATTCACGGAAAAGTCCAATTTCGATGGGCAGTCACAGCCTTCACCGGTATAGACGACTTCAACCGGTATACAGTGGGCCAAAGCAATCTATATTGGGTATTATGGTAATTTCAGAAAAACAAAAACAGTCCATTAGTCATTATTCTACATTTCAGTTTGGTTTTGTAGTTGTCGGTCAGCTTACCAAACCCAGACAAAAAGACAATGCGATCCACGCTAATTTCGCGTGCAAACCCATTTTTCGTTTACTACAAAGTGGCTCTTCAAGTTTGCCGGAACTTTCACGTACTAACTGCTTGCCGTCCGGTAAATTCATCTTTATATAAATCACAACTAGTCGCTACTAATTGATGGAAATGGCTTAAATCTATTTTGAATATTTGACGTTGCATTGTGTTTTTGAATTCGTCGTGTTTGTGACTTCTGGCATGTAAAATGTGTTCAAAGTGTTGCTTCCAATTTCACTTGACCTTTCCCTGTTGTTCGCATTGGCAAGAAGAGTTTTCACAAATCGCACGTTGTGTTGTGCGCTGAAATAATACCATAGTATGCTAATTGGTGGAAAGCTGTGCTCTTCTGGCACGACGCTTCTCATGTGGTGAATGGTGTTTGAGTTCAACGATTTTTTTCAAGTACACACGCTTTTTAAACGGTTTATTTTTGGTTATTTTGTAGTGAAATTCGGAAGTGCCAGAACTCAAGTCTGTCCGTCTGAGAAGTTGGCTCATTTTGCATGCATTGCATCTGAGGGTAGTGAAAGAAAACAGGAAAAATATAGAATAAGTAGCTATTCATTTAAAATAGTAAATAACTCTTACATAAAAGCGCACGTGGCCGAGAGAATATTTCTTTCATTTCACGAAATCTTTAAAAATTATGTATTTTCATGAAACATAAAAGTTTTACGGTTTTCTTCGTCATTGTTGTTCAATACCCAGCTAACCTAAAATCCATTTAATAGTCTTTTCATATTCAAAAGCAGGTTTGAGAGTCAAAAGTTAAAGAAGCGAGAGATTTTCAAAATATTTTTGTTACAAAAACTTACTGCAGACTGATTCGCTGTATTAGCTGTCGTGCAGTCCTGATCAAGCTATTATCTGTCATGACCTTTTCCATAATTAACCAATATGAAAGCTCCTATTACGGTTTTCCATTCAACTGCTTTTGGGTTGAAGTTTTGAAGTTCGGTATTATCGATATCAATAGAATTCGCCAAAAAAGGTACGGTTGAATAGTTGTCAAACTTCAACTTTTTTGTGTTCTTAGGGATTTCGACTCTCCAACTCTTTCAACTGCATCTGGGGTTATAGTTGAACATTACTGTGTTTATTTTGAAAAATATTAAAATGGAAAGCGGGTAAATGAACTATTTTATACATATATACATACATAATTCCAAACTATTGCAATTATACAAGTACGTAGAAAGGGGATCTCGAGCTCTGGCGGTAAAATCCCGAAACTGGACGTGGAAAGCTAGAATTTAGAAATAGTAAAAATAAAGATAAAGGAACATGGGAAGTGCTTGGAACATAAAGAGTCGATACAATAAATTATTCATAGAAATATACTTTTTGATTTAAATTAAAGTTTTGAAGGAAATTTTTGTCGCTTCGGGCATTTGTGTTTTCACTCACTAATACATTGCTCCTAATATTTAAAGTCTCCTTAACAACAAAGTAAAAATTACACCGGTCAACGCGATTTTCGGGTCTGACATCTATATGTGGAATTTTAGTTTCTCATATGACAAAAATAAGGAAAAAATTGTTTTCCCGGTTAAAGTTTGCTTTCGTAGAAATTACAGCTGTGCTGCCATCTTTGATTTATGAAATAAATTAAAATATACTTATCGATGTAGATCAGCTTAAAACAAACTTAAAGAACTAAAGATTAATATTTTAAGTGTTTTTCAATGTCTAGAATCAGAATCATGTTCTTTTTTTTTCATTCGACCTTAATGTCTTCTTTATTGGCGTAGACACCGTTTACGCGGTTATAGCCGACCTTAATATACATTCAGTGAAAGATCTAAATTTGATCAGTAATGAAAAGTGCATGAATACCGTGCCTTTTGCTCTTTTGTGCCTAAATGTAGGCATTAAATGCTACTAAACAGTTACTTAAACATCACTACAAAGGTAATATATTTACGAAATTACCTGGTAACCGATTATGAATAAATGGGTGTAAATATTGTAAGTAATAGCAATAGATACCTGAGTTCTTGAACAATGCGAAAGATCAACTGCCCTAATTGGCGGTTTGCTACCTTATATTTTATTTTATTTTGTATTGAAAACGCTGACTGCATATATAGAGGGATCCATTTCGAGATTCCCTATTTTTTTTAAGAAAAACACAAACTTCAAATTTATTGTGAATTGGCAATTATATTTTGAAGATTTTTGAAATGTTGGATGTGTGTTGGACTCTTTCGAGCATTTCGACTGGTATCTGGCGAAAAGCCTGAAAAGAAATATCGCCTCTACAGGAAAAAGTTAAACCATGTGACCCTCAATAAACCCATTAATAGTGGCGATATGTGATAAGTGGTTCCGTCTTGTTGAAACCAAATATCGCCGAGATCACTCACTATCTTCAATTTCAGGCATCAAATAGTCGATTATCATAACGCGATAATGGTCGCCATTAACGGTAACGTTCTCACCGGTATCATTTTTGGAGAAATATGGCTCTTGAATCTCATATCCATTGAGCCAGAAACGCCAAACAATACTGAGTAAAAATAACATGAGAACGTGATTTGTCAAAAAAAAAAAAAAGGCTTTGGGGGGAGAACTCTCCGCAGTTTAAAAGTTGTAAAATATCTCTAACTATAAATTGACAATTATATATATATATTTTTTTTATAGATCGACTCACTAAAAATACTTATCTTATTAAAGTATGAAATTTTAATGTTACTTTGTATGGGATTTTACCTGGAAGTTGTAATGTACAACAATCGTTGTGGTTTACGTGAGTACCTGCCGGCGACGGCCTAACCAATACAATGCGTTGATCAGCTCCCCACATAATAAATGCTTTTTGCACGTATTTTTAAGTTCCAATTGGTCTGGGTAAAAGGGACACCTTTTCCATCTTGTTTGGATTCAATGCCGATCTAAACCTCTGCCGTGCTTCGGGTCCGGCCGCAGTGCGACTCCAAACTGGATTGAATTTTTCAATTCTACCTGCCTTTAGGTTTAGTCTCCACAAAAGGAAAAATCTAATGAGTAGTTTGGAGCGAATTCCAAGGGCTAACTGCTTCCCGTGGTATTAGATTTAAGACTCCGGTCAGACCTTGTAGCTTTTGTTACTACCAGTTAAGCACCCGACAACTCAATGACTGGTGACATTTGTCGCTTGATTCAAAGTCTATAATATCATGTCAATCTGAGTATTATAGCACTATTTCTGACAAAGGCAATGCTGAAATCATCCAGGCAAGCGAAAAATACAGACGCAGTGCATATGGATTTAAATAGCTTTTTACGCGGGTAAACTCTATCTCCTGCCCTCTGGGGGAAGTTCTAATGTGCAGTTGTTTATCTACACATTTTATATATTTTTTTTTGCCGTCTCGGATAAACATTGAAAAACTTACACAAAAAAAGGACAATAAAAAATTACAGTAAAATTCCTCATCACTGGACAGTTACCGTCGCAGTGTTTTTGTCCGGCTAAGAGAACTGTCATAAATGAAGGCGTGGCCAACACGATAGTTTAAATATACATATTCTTAGAATCAGAAGCTGCAACTCTGAACTATATAATAAGAAGTAATGAATGACAATAATCCCAGTAGTTTACGCCGAGCACCAGTGCAAACAGTTTGTTTGCTGGGATCAATTTACGTATTGTACACTATTTTTGACACATTTTACGTATGTATGTCCGGTTATAGGAATTTGTATAAAAATAATATAGAAAACGTTTCGTTCGTGAAATTAGTTCAGTTATGGGAAAAGTCCAGCTATGAGGACTGTCCGTAATGGGGAATTTCACTGTATATATTTTTAATATTTTATTTATAAAAAATGTCTCAACAAACTTAATCTACCGAAGGGTTTTTATGAAAAATATACCTGCAACCTACTATACATATGAAAAAAATAAATTAGCAGGTTCTTATTCTTGCAATGTGATAACCATTAGTAATAAGATGCCGGCTCATTTTGTGGTTTTCGTTTGAAGTACGCCGCCATGCGTCCGGGTTTAAAACCACAATCCACCTTTACTTTATACGGTAACGGGTAACCAGCTTCATGTGAATAATAATCGTCACTATAAACTGTACTGACTTTACGAAATTTCGGATTTTTAAAATGTTCCGGCACATAACCCAATTGCTGGTACGTAAGTTGTGCAGGGCTATCTGCCGTTTCCACTAATTCTTCTTCGTCGACTTCTTCCTCTTCAGACAGTGGAGCTGGTGTAAGCTTCGGTTTTTTAAACGTAATAACATTATTCTTCAGTTTGAAAAGATTTTCCTCTGGTACATTGGAGAAAGTAATTTTCTTCATACTATCAATCGGCTTCTTCGCAAAACCATAGGCTAGCTTGGCTTCTGGCACCGCTATCGCTTTATTAGCCTGCAAAGCCAGACTTATGCTTATCGGATCGGCAGGTACTGTGCTGTCTTGTGGTTGCGCATAAGTTGCACTGCTCAATTAGAAATTTGATATGAGTTAAGGAGAGAATTAAGAGCTCGAATGCTAGAGACTTACTCTGATAAGGGATACGCAGGAATTGTTGACGCCGACGAGCAACCGCATGATGACGACTTGTAGGATAATGATGGTGTTGATGGCAGAGGTGCTGGCTTATAATAGTCACTTGTTTTCTGTGTTTCATAAACTGTTGGGGTTGGTGGATAATAACTTGGGCTTGGCGACGGCGCTGAGCATTTACATACTGAATTTTTCGGTGTTGGCTTCTATTGGGACAGAAAGTAGAAGAATGATGTTATTACTAGATGGACCGATGTAAAGCAACAAAAAGCGCGACAGACGCGTGCGTGTGTGATAAGAAATAGAGACGAGCGCAAGATTGTTGACTTAAAGCGCACGTTCAACGAAAATAACGACGATTTCGATGTTGTTTGTATGTTGATAATGTTTAGCAAAGAATGAGCATGATGTCGACACGAAGTACAGTCAAATTACGCATAAGGAAGATGAACTACGCATATATGAATGTGGAAAATGATGACAGTTGAACTACTCTTACGTATACTAGATGGTATGAACTATGGTAGAAATATTTACTAATCACTATTTAGTACTTATGTGCTTATGGGCAAATGTTCGGTTTCGACATTTTCTAGATTAGTAAGACGTTTATGTAGACGCTTAATGCATTGATGTTTGGCGTTAATCATGGCTGCTAGTGCTTTGCGTTTTAGTAAATTACTCCATTTTCGAAACCAATGAAAAGTATCACGTACTTTATTACTGCATGGCTTGGGCAATGCAGCCGGTTCAACGAATAGCTTGTCGCAGGAACAGCTGTTTCCGATGGGTGTGAGCTCCAACTCTGGATTGAGACAGCCATGACGCGTTTTAGGTCGCACGAATGTGGGTTCCTTACACTTGGCACAGTAATCGACGCCTTTCTCTTGGCAAACACAAGCGGCATTCACCTGTTGATACAGATATTTTTTAATATTTTTAATTAAATTATTTCAAACTTCCGATTTTACATCCATATTTGAATAATATTTTTTGTTTTCGTTTTTTTAATGAATTTTTAGCACTTTACATTAAACTCACCGCTAAAATGAACATAAAAATTAACAAAAGTCCATAGCATATGGATTTCGGTGACATTTTAATAAAACGTTCTTCACAAATTGTGGTCTCATAAACAATACATATACACATAAAAAATATCAACCCTTTTCTATCACACCGTATATATATTTTTTTTATAATAACGATTAATTTTCCGTTAAACTACTTCCATCCAAAACTTTGATGTCGCATACTCTACCGCCGTTCTGTCTTTGAAATGGTTCTAAAAATGCTTGTTGTTTATATAACGTACCATTATTCCGATCTCTAAATCCGCCATATGCATCGTCCATTCGTCTGCTTCGTGCAGAATTGCGTGCTTCGAATTCTCGTTAAATTAGATAAAACTTCACTTTACTCTAAGCCAAGTCTTCTGCAATGTACTAAGCACATGCAGACATACAAGTATATAAAAGTAAAAAGTTGGCGTAGGTGAGCTTCAGCGCTTATTTATTCGCTGCTGAGTGCAGTTGTTGCTGGCCTAGTGCCCGTGGTAAACGTCAAAAAGTTTCATTAATACTTTCCGGCAGTAAGGTCAGCTAGAACTTATGAATTACAATGTGAGATTAGCCAAACGGAGAGATTGTGTGACGCAAATAGATTTCCTTAAAACTTTGTTATATTACGCTTTTCTAAAGTGATTTTTTATACTTATTATTAATGGTTAAACTAAAACATCACCAATTGCTTGTTATTACCTCTAGTATTGTGGAATCTGGAGTAATGAATATCAGTAATCTCTACTTGAGGCAATAAAATTGATAGTTTCCCTTATATCTGTAAAAAATTTAGTTAAATGAATCTGTACCAAAATAAATTATAATATTGCCAAATAAGTTCTGCAGCTGTAACTAAATAGTGATCCCTTTCGTAGTTCTCTACTCTTTTGAAAGAAAAATTACAGAAACTATCATTCGAAAGAACATTCCTAGGCATTTTTTTTTTTTTTTTGAAGATCATCAGATCATCTCTTTCAAATGTTGGTCTCGGCCGCGTCTCAGATGATCCATCCGTTGAGGCAAATGTTCGATACTTGTTCAAGTATTTCGACTGGTAACTGGCGAATAACACGCGTGATGTTTTACTTGAAGACCTGAATAGAAGCGGGATTGTTCGCATGGACTTTAGACTTTACATATCCTTATAGGAAAAAATCTAACGGTGTGATATCACACGATCTTGTGGCCAATCGACCGACCCAAAACGTAAAATTATCTGCTGACCACAGTGTTCACTCAATAAATGTTTGTTGATTGATGCGATGTGTTGGAAGTGGCGTGGTATTGTTGAATCCAAATGTCGCCCAGATCACGAACTTCAATTTCAGGCATCAAATGGTCGGTTACGTTTTCACCGGCATTATTTTTAAAGGAATGGGGACCGATGATGAACACAAACCACACCAAATTGTTATTTTTTCTGTATGGCATGGCAGCTCTTTAATCTCTTCAGGTTGCTCTTTGTCCCTAATGCGGAAATTTCGCTTATTTACGTAACTATTCAGCCAGAAATGGACCTCATAGCTGAACAAATTGTGGCTCGAAAACATCGGATCTCTTAGGAACTTTTCAAGAGCACATATTATGAAGCGATGTTGTTTGGAATATCGAGCCACTTCACTTCTTGCACAAGTTGTATTTAATATGCTTTCAATTTAAGATCTCGACGTAAACTGCGCCAAGTCGTTCCATACGTCAGTTCGAGTTGCTGCGAACAGCGTCGAATAGACTCTCCGCGGTCTTCGTGTAACCTCTCAGCTACGGCTGCTATATTTTCTACACTGCATGCTGTAGACCATGTGGAAGTGGTTGAATATTATCCAATAATGATTGCTGGGTCTCAGGATGTGTGATGGTGTTGCGAATAGTACACTCAGTAGTCCGGTCATGTTGGCCCGCGAACACACACGTTGCAGAACGTGAACTTTCGTTATAAAGTTGATCAATTTGTAAACGTTGTTCAGGCGTTCCAAAATGAAACGATGAACAAATATAACATAACGACTTGAAAAAAATATATTGAAAAAACATTCTCTGCATGAAACACCCTTTAGAAGACAAAAACTCATATCGCTTTGATTTTTTTTTTTTGCTTATCTTGTATAGTATGTTTCTTTGTACAATGAACTTTTAGTTTTTCGATCATCTCATTTTTGAGCAAAATTCGCAATTTTTTTCAGAGTTTGCCATTTTGTTAATGTAATTATCTTTGCCAATAATGTCAGTTCACGATATATTCTATAAAGAAGAATAATTCGTAGAAACGAATTCACTTGGCAATGCTTCTTGAAATCTACAATATGACCTTTGATTCCTCATCTATGGGGGTTGACGTGGCAATTTGGCGATTTTTTTCTTTAACTGTTTCTTATACCATAGACGTTATATATATGGTAAACATACGTTATATTATATATTTATTAAATTCAGTAACGCAATTTAACACGTTATGTCAACAGATTTGTTCAGTAAGCATATGGTAGAGAAGAAGTCTGCTCGTAGACTAAAGGAATCCACCCTTCTAGTCGCCAGTAACAAGGGGCATTCTACGATTCTTATAGTCCCCGTTTCTTTCTATTACCACGCGCAACGAAAACCTAAAGAATTGAATCTAAATACGGTCCCCAATATTGTTTTCCTTTTCCCGAGAAGAGTTGGAAAGAGGCGAGGTAGACAAGGACGCAGGGATAAGCATCTATACGGATGATTGCAAACTAGCGAACCGACTGGCAGGTAGTCTCTTCTCTGCTAAATTAGACCGCTGTAGTATCTTCCAAGCGGATATCACAGCAATTAAAGAATTGCTGTTTGCTCTGACAAGGAGTGTACGAACAACAAGGAATATATTGAACTATTGAAGTCTTTTGAGTGAATATCTTTGAAATTTTTAGTTCTTTTTTTAATATTATACAGACATTTGAGATTAAAGAAGACATGTGCCTTCCTTATCTATGAGTTGATGATCTTATCTATAAACCATTTAAATTTGACTACTTTTTAAAACACGTGACAGTTTTTAATGAAAACTTTTTGTCTGTGAAAAACTCAAACTCTAAAGCTTCTACTAACTATATACTGATAACTTTTGTGCGAAATTACCTCTCGAATGCTTGAAAGCCCTACAAATTTTCATAAGATTAAAACAACATATTTTTCGGTTTCTTCTTCGTTCTCGCCATCTTCGATGTCAGCAGAAAGAATTTCTTGTATTATTTTATTTATGTAATCATCGTTTTCATTAGCAAAATCACCGTCAGTTAGCCGGGTCAACAATTCAGCAATTATTTTTAATGAAATATTATCACACATTATTTTGGGAATAGTCGATGTGAGATAATATTTCATTAGTGCTCCTCATAAGTTGAAAGTGTCGTAGTAGTCGACATCATGTCCTGAGATAAAGGACATTTTCTGCAGAATATTGATCAACTTGAGCGAAGATTGCTTGGCGCTGACACGTGGCAATTTCAGTAATTTTTCATTAATATTCAAATCCAACAAATCGACCAAATTGTTATTCAAATCCAATTGTGGCTTGTGTGTTTCCATAATGCCCGGCGAATAGCTGATAACATTGACCCCATTGCGACCCTCTTCATTGGCCATTGATCGGAAGTACATATCACGTGCCTTCATGCAAGAGCACATCAATGCATTGTAAACGAATGGACGGATCATCAAGCTCGATGTGATGTTGATGACCAGTTTTGGCGTCTTTGAAAGTTGTGGTGCCGAAAGAAAGGCCTGATTGAGTGCAACTGGTGCGTAGAGATGTTCCTGTACGAAGGATAACCATTTGTCGGCTGGCTCAGGTTCCATCAATATATCAGTTGCCAAAACGCCCTCATTATGTATTATAAATGCGAGTTCGAAATCACAGCTGATATTGCTGTACTTTTGCAAGATAGCTGCGAGTAGTTGGCCGAAGTAAACACCGTTGGTTTCTTGCCACGCTTTAATGGGCCAGCAAATTACGTTAATATCACGTTCAAGGAATTCGATTTCTTTCTTCACTTCCTGCATGTTTTCTTCAGACACGTCGATGAGTATAGCCAATGAGCCGACGCTATATTGGCGACACATTTCGATGGCCAACGACTTGCCCAAACCATTGGAAACGCCACTTAGTATGAAGAATGTGCGCTTGCTTAAATCCTGCCTTTTTGAGGACATGATTAGTTTTTGTTGTGTTGTCTTTTTTTTATTGCTATAAACACTTGCAATTTCACTTTTGTTCACCACTAATATTTATTTGTAAGTCCTTTGCGTATGAAATAATTTAAATTCAAACAAGATTTAATTTTTTTAAAGTCAATTAGTTGAGTTGTTCGACCACCTTAGACTGCACAGTTGAACTGAGAATGAACGTAGCTCATCTCAGGCTTTTTAAAGTAGGTATGGTAGGCGAGGCAGACAATCGAGTCAAAGGCGAATCAGCCACAGACATAGGGAAATCGTGTTGCCGAGCAAATAATCTGAGCACGAAACAAGTGATAAGCGGCGTAAAGCTGATAAGCGTGTCGTAATTGAGTTGGAGGCTGAGGTCCATATTTGTTTCATTGATTCGAAAACACAGTGAAAGCCCCAATAGACGGTCGTTCCAAGAAGCAGGTATGCCTTCTAGATGAAGTTCAACAATGGGTACTATTTCATATTTTTAACTAAATACTTGCGGTCTTCTTTCTCTTTTATTTTGTTTTAGGCAAGATATATTAGTAGTATTCCGAAATTAAATCGCATAAAAAAAACATTACGACAAAAAAACTTATTTGAATTTATACGTAAATTTTGTATTTCTTACCTTCTTCAAGGGTTCTTTTTGTTTCAATTATATTTGTAATTTTAATAAAAAAATTTCGAGTTCTTTAAGGAATATCTCTCTTTAGTGAAGCGAAAAGTAACTCGTTGTTCGCTTATGTGAGCTTTTACTGTTACTTCATAACAGTTATGACAGTATTTTAATGGGAACGTATCGCGCTTGAAATTGTTTTCAATCAGTTTACATAATTTTAATTTTTTTCGCGGCAGATATACATATATACATATAGTACACATATATATATAAGTATTTATATATACGTAATATTTTAAGAATATATAAGTACATATATATATGTAAGTATGTACATGATATATACATATGTCTATATACATACATATGTATATTGTAAGTTCGTTATAATACATTTTATATGTATTATTTATAATATTATATACCGGGCTTATAGAGACAGATCGTAAAATTGATTTATTTGCACTGCGCCCTGATATTATCCCTGTCCATTTAGATGAGACCTAGGGCCTTGAGTTTGCTTCTGTAAGTTGCTGGGCAATCCAGAATTAGATGTTCTGGAGTTTCTTGTTCCATGTCGTAGATCCGGCAGTCATTTCCTTAAATTTCGCAAGGTTGTACCCTCCCAAAAGTAGCATGGCATGGCGCATTTCTGCTGCCTGTTCTTTCCCCACTCTCTTCTCCGTGCGTAAAAGCTCGTTTAAAGTGTGGGACCCCATGGTTGTGGCCCCATCATCCTGGACACTGCCGCAGAGCGGAGTAGTTCGTCGGCCAGCTCATTGCCTTCTATCAGTTTATGCCCCGGAACCCAGATTAGGTGTACCCCGTTGCACACTGATAGACACATTTCAAGGACGATATATACTCCTCCACTAAAAGCGGTTTAACCTCATACACTTAGATCGCCTTTAGTGCCGCTTGACTATTGCTAAGTATAACGATATTGAGTTCTGCATACTGACTTACAGCAAATAATTCTACTTGAAAGATACTCGGAAAACGTGTCATTGGTATGCGGACACGCAGTCCCTTCCGGAGTTTTCGTGTCAGTTTTTTAGTCAGTGTACCACTGGATAGCGCTGCCCCTCAGTAGTATGTTGAGCGTGGAATCTTTCCACTTCACCTTATTGCCGAGAGTAACTCTGTTACTCTTTGTAAAGTTAACCCTCTTTGCGAATATTTTGTCGCTTTGCTTATAAAAATGTTCTTCAACTTTTATGACAGCGTGTCACTGAAGAATACGCTTGCATGCTTAAGATGATGACCAGACGGCAGACGGTAGGCTTTCTTGTAAAGACTATCTCTAATTTATGTCTTGAC